GGGAAGACCCTCTATGAGGTGGACTGACTCAGTGACTGGGGTAATCGGGATGGGTGTATCGGAGACGGTGAGATTGGCACAGGATAGAGCAGAGTTTAGGGCTGTTGTACATAGGGTCGCTATGAGTCACAAGCGACTTGATGGCACATAACAACAACAACATGATACAGTAGAGTGTGGGTGCCAGCCGCCTCAGACAACTTTGTGTAATCGTTCTGGGGTACAGCCTGGGCCTCAGGCAGCATTAACGTTCACCTTGTAATCCCAGTGGAAAGTGGAGGCTGAGGACTGCAGCCCTGGGGATTCACAAACTCAAGCCCTCTGGCAGTATAAGTGGAACCAGCGCCTCCTTGTGGCTCGAGTGGGCACTGCCCTGGCTCTGACCACTTTGATCAGTACAGACCCAGGCTCCTTGAATAGCAACACTGGCATTGAAACTCAAACCAGGTGCCCTCTGAGTAATATATGCTTGATTTTTTGTTTCTTTTTGAACTTAAATACACAGCTCTGAGCATTTTTGAAAAGTTCCCTGTTATCGTTCAACAAAGCAGCGGTCCCTTTGACTTTGGCCAGATTTCAGGGTTGAACAGCATGCCTCTCAGGCCTTCAAAATCACTGAAGACTGCTCTGATGGCTTAGTGGCAAGAAGCTGCACTGTAATCCCTAAGGTACATGGTTCAAATCCAGGCTCCGTGGAGAAGAATGGGCAGTCTCCTCCTGTGCAATTAATTGCCTCTGAAAAACCCACTGGAGGGTCAGCTATGGGCCGATTCTGACTCAATGGTACACAACAACAACAACAAAAGCACTGAAGAAACTTTGAAGAGAGAAATCTGAGGTTTGAACACACAGCCTGCAGGTAGGGTGCTTGGACCAGGGTGCCATGAACCCACTCGCCTATCCTCTTGCTCTTTAGTTATACAGACCTTCACAGTGGCTCCTACACATATCAGAACCTGCTCTACCTGTCCACAAAGGACATGTTGTCAAACATCTGGCTGAAACGGGCTTTCAATATGTTCAACGCATTTTCGCCTTGCTTTTCAGAATGGTCACAAACCAACTAATATCTTAAAATAATATCTGGAGAAGATTGGTCACTGAGGTATGATCCTAATCAGAAAATCAGGGGATGGTGGAACTATATGTCCCTGGAGCAAGACTGGACCAACAGTTTTCAAAGTGTATTTGACACTCAAAGTGTAGCTCAGTGTTACAGCGGGCCAGGAGTGGAAGGCTTGTCTGGAGACCTGGAGGCCTGACTCCCATTTCCATCAGGTCGGGATGCTTTGTGTACTGGGCTCCGGCATGACAGTTCCTCTGAGAGGAGATGCCTGCCAAGCAAAAGGCAGGTGGTTCGAATCCACCAGCTACTCAAGGGAGACACATGGGCACAAGGGAGACACATCCTTCTAGATGACTTACAGCCTCATAAAACCTATTAGTGGGTCAGCTATGAGTTGGTTCAGACTTGAGGGCAATGAGTTATTTGCGTTAAAAAAGGCTGGGAAAGAACAAATCCAGTCTAGTCTCTCCATTTTGCAAAGAGACAGAGACTCAGAAAGCAAACATGACTTAACAAGGTCATGAGTTGTGTGCCTTCAAATTAGGAGCAACTCAGAGCTGACCTTCCAGTGGACTTTCAGAGGCAGTTAGTCACACAAGAGGAGATCCCTCATCCTTCTCCCACTCGGTAGCTGGTGGATTTGAACTGCGTGCCTTTGTGATTGCAGCGAAGCTTCTTACCACTAGACCACTGGAGGTCATAAGCAAGTAAGCTGTGGAACTGTCTAAATTGCAGGTCCTCTGATTTTTTTTCTGGTTTCTTTGAACAGGGAAACATGATGGGGAAGTCTTGGAAGTATATTTCCTGAACACTAGGAGGCTGAAAAGTACCAGGCCTGGGTGGGCTTGTGTAAGCTGCCAGGCCTGCTGTGTCTAGGTGGGTGAGTGTGGGAGTGGGGAAGCCTGGTAGGGTCCTTCCTAAAGGCTGACAACCTGGGCTCAAGGCACGTAGTTCCCAGCATTTGCCAGCAGAGGGAGCCATAACCTGAGGCTTTACCACCGCAAGACCCGCCTCAGCAGAACAGAGAGGAAGGAATGGGCCTGCTAAGGGGAAGCTCTTTCCTAAAGACATTCAGTGTAATTCTACATTGAGCCTTGAAGGAACTGAGGCTTTCAAGTCAGAAGTTAGTTTTCAGTGGGAAGGAGCTAACTCTGGGCCTGAGGCTACACTGCCCAATGGCAGGCCTCCTGGGCACGGGATTTACATGCAGAAGTTATTCCACTTCAATTTAGGTTTTGCCCTCTCTCTGTTCAAAGCTTCACAGTCTTTTTTTTTTTTTTTTTGCTGCTTCTATAAGCTCTTGAGGGAGGAGCTCAGGTGACTTAGCGGGAAGGAGTAGTGTTGCCAACCCAAAGGCATGTGGTTCGAAACCACTAGCTGAGAGAGAGAGATGGACAATCTCCTCCCATGTGATTTACTCTGAAAACCCACTGGAAGGTCAGGTAAGAGTCGATTCCAACTTGACGGCACAAAACACCACCACTACCACCACCACCACCACCAGCAGCTCTTGAGGCCCGCGAGGACAGGAGGAAACAGAGTGACCCAGGCCCGGCCCAGTGCAGGCAGAGCAGGCTTCCTTAACCCTGACAGGTAACAGCAGGTTTCCACAAAGCAGCCCCTTCCACAGTCTGAATCTTCTGGGTTCAGCATTGCAGACAGCAGCCTGCCCAGGGGAGGTGTAAAAAGAAGCTACACTTAATGCCAACAGGGGCTCTCCCGCCCTGCAAGTAAACAGAGGTGCAGGGGAGCAAGCTGGTCTGGCTGGTGAATAGGGAGTGGTAATAAAGTTAAAAAGAAATGATAAAAACAGTCATGGTGTCATTGAGGGAGCATTAAAGAAAGGCTCAATGGGGGGAGCTCTGGTGGCCTAGTGGATAAGGAGTTACACTGCCACCTCAAAGGCAGGTGGTTCAAATCCACCAGGTGCTCCATGGGAGAAAGCGAGGCAGTCCTCCCTTGTGATTTACAGCCTCTGAAAGTCCACTGGAGGGTCAGGTATGAGTCAGTTCTGATTCCAGGACAATGGCTTTTTGACGTTGGTATGTGATGAAGCACTGAGATGCTAGAGATTCAAATCTACCCGTCACACGGAGCAGAAAGATACAGCGGCTTACTTCTGCCTGAAAACCCCCTGGGGAAGTTCTGCGGTCACACCGGTTTGCTCTGAACTGACGATGACTTCTAAGGAGTTGACTTGATGGCATCTAACAGCACTACCACCAGTTACTGAACACCTGCTCTCCTCTTAATGGTGAGTCAAATGTTTGAGAATCTTCACAATAAGCCATCAAAGTAGGAATAATTAGACTTGTTTTACTAATGTGTACTGAGACTGAGAGATTAAATAACCTGCCCTGAGTCAGGCAACTCTTAAGGTGGTACAAGTAGGCTGTTTCCCCCTCCAGAGGCTTTGGGATCGCCCCTTGTATATGAGGCTGTATCTGACCCCTCAGGACCACAGAGCAGTACACGGAGGCACCACGCGATCTAGACAGTTCCTCTAGCACCATCCCTACTCTACTCATCTTCTCCATGGAACTCTGAGTTGGGGTAAGGAGTTTGGAAAGCAAAGGACCCAGAGCCAGGGGGGTTGTGTGCCAGGTTAGGGTACACCTCTATAGCGCTGTGAGTCACCTTTCTGAGTCTTAGTTTTCTAATCTGTCAAATGAGAATATAGAATATGACTATTTGCCTGGGCTGAGTCTCAAGTGATTGTCAGGATCTGCTGAGAGAAAGAATTCGAAAACATTCTAAGGTCTAAAGAGAAATGGAGAAAGACAATTTCTACTCCGAAGGGTTGGTGTGCGCCAGGGCTGTAAGTGGGTCACACAAGAACCACCTCATTCTTATTTAGACAATTAATTAGTTAGGCAATTGTCCTCCTTTTTCTCCCCCCCAGCTGATGAAGTTGAGGGAAAGGAGAACTAAGAAAGTGCTCCAGGTCACACACAAGCAGAGCTGGGAATGAGCCCGGGTCTTTTGATACCAACGCTCCTGCTCTTCATCCCTCTGCTGTTGTCAGCTGCCACTGAGTTGGCCCTGAACTCACAGTGACACTATGACAAAATGCTGCCTGGTCTCCGGTGCCATTCTCGTCACTGGTGTGGATCAGACCCCTTAGGGCTTTCACTGGCTGCTTTTTGCAGGGAGCTTCCCAGACCTATTTCCCGAGTTCATCGTACCTTGTCTACACTGTGCCTCTGGTGCTAGGCATGGGGAAGGCTGGCCGGAGCTATTTGCTTTCAAGGCCTCTCAGACTGCAGAGCTGCCTGGACAGTGACGGCCCACCCTGGCTCCTGCTGGCTACGGGGAGGGTGCCAGGTGAGGTGGGCACGTGGACCACAGGGTCCTTGCTCACTCGCTCACATGTTACACCTGGGGACTTTGCTCTCAGCTGGGGAGGGGCTTGGAGGAGAGAAGCAGCAGCTAAGGGCACAGGTCATCAGAGCTTGGAGCTGGGTGTACAGAGGACCGTGTATACCCCAGCACTCCTGCACGCAACACGCACTCACACACGCACATACATACATAAAAAGGGGTGAGTGCACACACATGCACGCACACACACACACATGCACAAGCACTCCTGGACACATATATATGCGACCAGCGACTGCATAAACCAGGGCATGCAGACACACCGTGTACACACACCATGGCAGGCCTGTGCCCACAGGGAGCACGCATGCACATACCTGAGCCCACACTCACACTCCTCCCAGGTCCCTGCTCTTTACAAGTTCAAGGTATCCCACAGGCCCTAGGTATTTTCATGGCCCCTGGGGAAGAGACAGAACATGTGCTCCACCCTCAGCAGTGAAGAGGAGGGGAGGGAAAAGGAGAGGAGGGAAGGGAGGCAGGGCAGGAATACAGAAGGGGGTCAGCTATTTTCCCTCTTTCAGACAATGTCCATGTCATTACCCCAGCTCACCTGCAGGCAGGCCACGCCTATGCCCACTGCCCCCATGAGGAGCAGGTGGTCGGCCAGGAACTGTTCCAGCTTGGTGATGCAGCCCCCCTGCAAGGTAACCACAGGTTACATATGTCCTGGGCCCCAGGAGCCCCCAGGAGTAGGGAGAGAGGGGCTAGCTATGACATGCATCCCACTGAGGCTAAGAGAATGGCTGAGAGTTAAAGGGTCTGCCCAGGACCCTTTAAATTAAAGGGTTCTTAGGCTTAAGACAGGGCCCCAGGGGCAGGTCATGGTGTCCAGCATCTCCCACCAGGATCTGCTTGTCCCCAGGGCTTGGTAGAGAGCTTTGCAGGCTCCAGACACTATGGTCACCCTCGTCAGTGTGTTCTGTTTCCACCTCACCTTTCCAGGGGCTCTGAATGACAGACTGGGCCCCCAATGGGCCAGTGTGAGCTTGAGTGCTTACCTCAACCTTGTAGATGTTGGAGGGGTGAGTCCGCTGGCCGCAGCGTACCACCACCGTCTTGCAGCAGCTGTCAGGCACCAGGCGGCCCTCGGCTTCCCGAGACAGGACGTAAGCGCTGTGCTGCCAGTCAGCCGAGCTGTTGCTGCCGCAGCACTTGAACTGGGGAAGAGGGACAGGTGAGAGAGGCCCTCCGGGCTGAGGCTGGCAGGCACCTTCCTCACACACTCATCCAAGCCAGGCTGGGTCCCCTGCTGACCTGCCCTTCCTGTTTTAAGCAGCAGTTGGTCCCTGTGCGGCCCTTCTCTTCAGGGCAGAGGCTGTCTGCCCAGCACCTGTTCCCTAGCTTTTGTATTTGCCTTTTGTGCCCCTTTTAGGAGGGGATGCTGAGTGTTCTGGGGCAGGGAGGTTCTGTAAGAAGATGTAGGGGGATCCTGGAAGAGTGTGTGTGGGTGTGAGCCACTAGAGGGCAGAGCCCAGGGCAGGGCAAAATGCAAGGAATGGTTTCCCAGGCACCTGGGGAGACAGGACTTCAAGGACCCCTGCCTGCCTGCAAGGTCCCCATTCAGACCTAGAGACCTGTGTTCCTCCCAGTGCTGCAGTCACAGTGGACACTGCGTGGGCACATCCCTGCTGAGCAGAAGGCCCCCTGGGAGCACTCAGTACATGTGACCTATTTCAAGCCATTTCCCCTAATCATTCCCCTTAATGCCCCAAGACAGAGGCTCTGGTCTGACTGAGATGGAATTCCCAGATCCCAGTGAATGAAAGAGTGGGAGGCCCGGCCACTGCCACCTGAGGACAGGGCAGACCAGCGCCAGGCACTGGCCCTGAATATTGTTCTGTGTCAGACGTGGCTGTTTGTGTCCACCTGTGTGCATGTCTGCGTATTTGCATATGCCTTAACCACTACTTCAGAGGCAAATAGACCCTCTCTGTGCAGAACTGATCGGGTGCTGAACTGAACTTGAGTCTTGGGGAGATGAGAAAGGTGTCCCCTCAACGGAACTTGGATGTTTCAGAGCTCAGAACCCACTAAACTCTACTTGCTTGGAAATCCCAGGTCCAAGACCAAGGTTCAAGGTGGGGTCTAAGGAGCAGAGCAAAGCTCATGGTTGAGGGGCGGCGAGGGGGATGGGGCAGAAGAGGGACCAGAGTCAGCAGGCAAACCGCTTCAACTGTTTAAGAATAGAAGCATCAAGATAAGAAAACCGAGACGGGGAACGCCGCCGCCAGATGGGGGAACACCTCGAGAGGGACCTGGAAGAGACCCGCAGCGCGAGGGCGAGGCCGCCAGACCGGGGAACGCCGCCGCCAGACAGGGGAACGCCGCGAGAGGGACCTGGAAGAGACCCGGGAAGAACAACATCCAGCCACCTATGGCGGAACTCCAGAGGAGTGAAGACTGTGAGACCCCAGAGGAACGAAGACTACCGGACACTGTGTGACCCCCCTGCAACCCACACCTGTGTGACCCTTAACACACAGGGTGCTGCTGCATAAACCCCCAGCAGCGCCCAAGCCCCATCCTGACCTCTTGGTGATAGTGTCCAACCCCTGCGCTCCTTGCCCCTTA